TTTCACTTAGAACCGTGATGTCCTAAGAGTTCTACCCTCTAGTCGAGAGACTCAAAAAGTACCTGGAGCTAGAGGCCTATGACATTCACCAGAAGAGGAGCTATGATTGGCTCTGTGTAGTGCCAAGTAGATATGTGCATTGCCAGTGGGGTCTTTGAGCCGTCCCTCTAAGTAGGGTTGTGTATGAGGTGTGGGGCCCCTCCTCTCCCCTGATCAAAAAGAAAAAAGCACAGCAACAACAAAAAACTATCTCCCTAGCTATTAGGCTGATGCTGACTTTCCACCAAAAGCTTTGGGTTTTGGGTTTTTTTTATTAAAATACAAAAACTTCTGAAAAATGTAGCTCAAACTGAGGGTGGGGGTGGGGTGGGGAGAGAACATAAAGAAAGGGAGCGGGAAGCCTGGGACAAACCACCTCATAATTTGGATAGGGCTTGTTCTGCTTCTCAGTGCCCAAAGTAAGATGCGTCTGTTGTATAGAATGGAGTGTTTATTTAATTATTGCCTCTGTCATTCTAGCCCTCACCCAGCAGAAAACACAGACAGCTTTTGCAAGGGGATTGGGGGAGATTTTTTTTTCTGTATGCCTCAAAGTGTAGGAAGTTAAAAATGAAATGTTCATAATTTATGTCTGGTAGATTTCTTTTGGAAAGAACAATAAATAATTAGTATTTTTTTCCCTTCTTTGCCAGCATTGTGAACTGGGCCTGTGCATTGGCGATCCAGACTACCTCTAAGAAATCTTTGCCTTTTCTTTCATTCTATGACTAAAACCGTAGAAGAGTTCCCATATTGTCATATTTTCAAAGTAGACTAGAAATAATGTTGAGTTCAAAGCTGAACTTGGCCCAGATCAAAAGGACTGTCTTTGTTCCCTAATAATTTGAGGGGAGGGAGAGCTATCACATGCTCTGCAATGAATTTTAATGATTGTTTATCAAGTCATATGAGATCACATTGGTAGCTTTGTCTACTCTGCTCTTGCTTTTGCGAATGAATTTGAACTTCTACAGTGTATAGTAAATTGATGTTGGTATGAAGTCATTCATTTCCAAATAATACTAGTTGACATAATTGTTCCCCTTCCCCCCCTCCAAAAAAAAAGCAGGATGTATAAGAGTACTGGACTGGGAGTGAGGAAGGTGGGTTTGAATTCTGGCTCTGTCATTTACTGTGTGACCTTCGTCAGGTCATTGCTACTATCTAGGCCTTGGTTTCTGTCTCTGTAAAGTGAAGGAGTTGGACAATCATCAAATAGCTGTTAAGTACTTACTATGTGCCAGGCACTGTGCTGAGTACTGAGGTTACAAAGTAAAGGCCCTTAGCTCACATTCTAATGAGGGAAACTATGAATATGAATAGATGCATACAAAATACATATATAGGTGGTGTTTGTGCTGAGGCTTGAAGGAAGCCAGGAATTGTAAGAGGCTGAGGTACAGAGGGGAGAGAATTCCAGTCACAGAGTTGGGAAACATGGTGTTGTATATGAGGAAAAGCAAGTAGGGTGATAAGTCTAGACCAGGGGCGGGGAACTTGTGGCCTAGAGGCTGCATGTGGCCCTCTAGGTCCTCAAGTGCAGCCCTTTAGCAGAATCCAACCATTAAAGGAAATATTAAATTCCTGCTAGAGGTTAGTGAAAATAAAGATGTATTTTTTCCCATCCAAATGCATTGGCCCCCTGAAATCTATCCCCAGGCCCCAAGAACCCCTGGTCTAGAAGTACCCAGAAATGGTTGATTAAGGACATGCCCAAAACAACAGATGGAGTTTAGTTGACCCAGAATCCTGTAGTGCTGATTTTGGAAGTCAAACCAGAACAGTGAGGAGTTTGCAGCATTTATAAACACATGACCTAAAATGGCAAGAGTCTTTGTGAAATTCTCGACCCCATTCTCATCAGAACCACTCCAGGGCCATGTCAATGTACCTAATTTGACCTTTAAGGACCTTCCAATGGGGCTGAGGAGAGTGGAGAAAAGAATCTGGCCAACCTCTGGAAAAGAGAGCATAGAAACATCACGGATTATAAATGACTCACAGATCATGTGACAGCAGAGAAGGAAACACTGAAGCAAACCTTTTTTTTTTTTTTAATTTAGGGAGAAAAATGTATCTGGATAATTGGTCTACTGGCCTACCTACTGCTTAGCTTGAAAGGCTGAAGCTTTTCTTTTCTTTTTCTTTTCCCTCTTCTCTTTTTCTTGGCTTTCTCTATAATCCTCCTTTACTAAGCCTTGTTTAGGGTTGGTCAGCATTCGAACTGTACTGCTAGGACTCTGAAGGCTCCATGTTTTATGACTAGTATTTGCAAACCCTCACCATAAAATCAGAAATAACACATTTGCCTATAACAGATTTGTTAGTACAATCAAAGGAGCCTCCGAAAGCAAGCCTAAGAAAGGCAAAGCATCACACCATGTCCTGAAAGTTCTGCCACTATAGGACCTGTATTGCAGCCCCCAGAGTCACTCAGGTTACCCTAGATCCTTGGCTATAATTCCCGCAAAAGAAGTGAATCATCTTTTTGCCCCAATATTTGGAGCTACATTTCCTCCAGCCTGCTACAAATGGAAGAACCACCCCCTCCTGAACTCTCTTGCTGAAGGCTACAAGGGCTCGTCTTCCTTGTCTATTGGGGACCCAAATGGGCATCCAAAATTTGTATTAAAGGGACCAAATGAGGAGTAGCTGCTACAGACTGTGTTACCTTCCCTCCACTGGAGCACATCATCAAATCTGCTTTCATGAGTTCCAAATTGCAAGCCATGAGCTATGTTTGTTTATTTGAGGGTCCTCTTGCTGTTAGAAAGGCATGAGGGGGAAAAAACCTAAAAAATAATGAGAGAAATCAAAAGAAAGGCATAGTGCAGTACTTCCTGGGTTCTAGGTTGGATTCTTCTGTTCCAGAGCAGGTTCCAAAACCATCTGCCCTGGAATGGAAAATGAGAGAGAACTATGGATGGTACCCATTTGTACCCTATAGCCCTGGTTCTCACTCTCATTCCATTGGCCCTTCCCCAACTTAGCAGCGTCTATCTTTATGGTTCTAAGGCCCCAGAAGCATTTGCTTGTGTGACCAGCCTGATCTTTTCTGCCTTTGGTGAAGCTCTATTCTAGAACTCTGCACAGATCAACCATCCTCTCTCCTCCTACTAGTTGGCAGTACTTCCCACAGAGAACTTGGAGATGTTTCAGCCCCCTTTGTCCTGGATTGGCAGCATCTTCTTTGAGAGCTTACTATCTTTTAAAGGTGTTGCAGGTGCAGGGAAAACCCTAAGCAGCCATTTTTGGAATGAAACCAAATGCTACCTCTCCTAGGGGTGTGTGTGTGTATGTGTGTGTGTGTGTGTGTGTAAAAAAGGGAGAAACATATTTCTCCTTGAAGCTGTCAGAAGAGAAGAGCTGGAAATAAGCAGGCTAGAACTTCCTGACCTGAGATCTAGACACAGTTGCTTATGAACTGTGCCTGGGAACTCTCCATGTACAAGTCAGTCAGTCAGTCAATAAACATTTATTAAGTGGACAGGTGATCATTTAGAACTCCAAGCCCAAATTAGACACACAAGGGGGACTACTGCCTGCCTTCTCTATTGTTTACAAGTGTACCATATCCATGCTGTGAGCTCAGCTTTAAATATAAGCTAGTCAGAAAAGAAGAATGTCTAAGCATCAAGGATCATTAGGTCAACCTCACATTTCCTTGTAAGACTGCCAAAGTTATCTAAAGATATGTTAAAGAGGAAACATGTCTATTCAGAGCCCTCCTAACCCCTTGGCATTTAGATCCATTGCAGATTCTCTCTCTACCTTTCCTCTCTTCATTAATTAGGACACAGGTAGTATATTCCCTCCCCCCCCCCCATTGACCCTATTTGCTTGTGGCTGTAGTATTAATTCCATTGATATACAGGGTGTGGTTATTAAAAGGATAGCCATAGAAAATTGTATTTGAGAAGGTCTGGCCTGGCATGAGGAATGAAACCAGTGAAAGAACCATTGTTTTCAAGGAGTATTTTTCAAGAGGTCTGGATTAATAATTCTCTCATTTAAATGGACTGAGTTAGCAATGTCTTCATTTGATTTTAAAATCCAAGGGTTTTATAGCATATGAATAGAGGCATCTTCCAGATGAAAGATTTTACCTGTCATATGGTATTTCCCAAATATTCACTTCAATGACAAGCATTTGTTGGGTACTTACTGTATGCCAGGCACTGTGCTAGGCATTGGTGATACAAAGAAAAGCTAAATAACCCTTGCCTTCAAGGAGTTTATATTCAAATGGCGTGTGGGGGTGTGTGTGTATTGGAATTTCTGCATAGGAAATGCAAGATAATTTGAGGAGGGAGAGCACACTAGCAGCTGGAGGAGGTGGGGGAGGGGAGATCAGGAAAGGAGATGGTACCCAAGGTGGTAAAATTTTAAGGGGTTGAAGTGAATAGGAAGTCCAAGCCAGGCACTGAGCTGAAACAGGAGATGGAATGTGATCAAGGAAGCAGCTTTGAAGGAGATAGTTTGAAAGCTTAATGTCCATACTGATGTGTCACTTAAAAAAAATTGGAAAACGTGTAGCTTGGAAGATTATTTCAAACATATTGGCTCTGAGGAATCAAAAAATATCTTAGATTTTTCCTAGTTAGCTCTTAAATGTCTGGCTTTGGCAAGCAATCATCCACTTGATGATTTCTGCCTCGTTTCATTGCACTCCCCTATTAATTGGGCAAAGAAGACCTTTTACATAACTATTTGGCGTGCTTAATATATAAGGAGCTTAATGCCTGATTTGAGATGTAATAAAACTGTTTAAAAGAAAAAGAGACAAAGAAACGAGTTGAGAAAATATTATCCCGCTTTGGCATCTGCTCGTTTTAATCGGGCTAGGTCTATTTTACCTTTAAGGTCTCATTTCGGCAACCGGCTTCTGCTAGAAAAGCTCTGTTTCACTAATTGCCTTTGCTGCTCTGATGTGCCAAACATTTATTATGTTTTTCTTTCAGTCGCAGGGATCCATTAAGAGGAAACTGGAAGGAGACAGCTTTCCTGACAGCAGTTCATTTGATGACCTTTACCCTCATGACATTAAGAGACCTTGCCTTGATGATGTTACCCTTTCTATGGGACAAAGTAGCAACCCCAGTAGCTCATGTTCTGAGGTACAGATGTCGCCATTTTCTCTGGATCGTAAGTCCTCGTCCATTGGCATGGCTGACCATTCAGTCCTACTTGAAAATAACCAGATGAATGACAATGACATTGGATCTTCATTCACCATGCCACCAAATACAGAAGTTGGACAGAAGGGGCCAATGGGTGGACCAGACAGTATGGTTCATTATGATGAAAAAGGAAACAGTCTGCAGACTGTGGATCAGGAGCTTCAAGATCTCCTGGAAGAGCTAACCAAAATGCCAGATCCTTCTCCTAATGATCTAGACCTTGAAAATATCCTGGGGAGCAAGCCAGAAGAACCACTTGGCATAGTTCATACACCACCAGCCTTGAGGAGCACTCCTAAACCTTCTCCTCAGACATCTCACTTGGAGAACCACGTTACCAGCAAGGAGTTTTCTCCTAGTTGCAGTCAGACAGTAACGAGCGGGTCACCTCAGATGCGGCCCTCCTCTGCAGGAGCGAGCTATCCAGTTCGTCCTCCTAACAAACCTACCACCTCCCCCATTTCTTCGACAGCCCAGACAAAGTGCCAGCCCCGGAATATGCTAACTGGCTCCTTACCCACCTTGTCTGGACCTCATTGGCATCACGCCCACCAACTGAAGGCCCTGGCAGCCAGCAAGCAAGTATCTTCTACAAAACAGCAAATGCCAGCATCCAGCTGGTCTACCATGGCTTCTCCGGGCCTTTCTCCACCGTACCCACCAGGGTCATCGCCACACCAACAGCCATACAGCCCTCAGAGCATCATGGTGTCTGGCATTTCGTCCACCACTTTGCCAGGGAGCAACCTCCAGACCTCTCCCACTGCCTTGCTTTCAAATCTGTCTGTCAGCGGCAACTCTAGTGGCGGGCCCTCTGGGCCCTTTGGTTCGGAGATGCTGTCCAGTCCCATCCTCACTCAGCAGCAGCAGCAGTTCAGCCCTCCCAATGTCATGCTTTCCAACCTAAGCTCCACTGCCATACCGACCACCAGTATCAAGAGTCCTTCGAGCAGCTTGGTCTCAAGCATGGCCACCACCAACCCATCCTCGCCGTATCGGCCAGACAAGCTCTCTAGCCCAGCTCTGCATCAGCAATCCTTCAGTCCACAGGGCACCCTGATCTCAAATGTCAGTAACCCTGCAGGCATGCAGCAGCAGCAGCAGCAGCAGCAGCAGCCACCGCCGCCACCACCGCCACAGCCACAGCAGCAGCAGAACCCACTTTATAAGACCATGACCAACAACCCATCGAAAAATCTCAATGTGATCCTGCAGCAAGCTTCTGGTGGCCTGCAATCTGGGCTTGTGAGTGAAGGCCCTGGAAATCAGGAGCCCTTTTCCTTTGGCAACACCAAGCCCCTGTCCCACTTCACTTCCGAGGCAGCCCCTCAGAAGGTGGCATCCATGTCTGCGAGCTCAGGACAGCCATCCCTGCTCCACTACCTGCAGCAGCCTCCACAGGCCTCCACGCAGCAACTGCAGGCCCCGCAGCCCAACAGTACCCAGTTTTTGCTGCAGCAGATGATGCAGCAGCCGCAGAGGAGCCAGCGACATATGTCACCTGCCTCTTTGCCTTCGCAGCCTAGACAGGTGAGAGCATCTCAGGTTGGCTTTTGTTGATCTGCTGCGGAGTTGGGGAAATGTATTCTATTGTGGCCTAATTATGGAGAGCACATCTAAGGTATCATGACCCTAAGATCAGGCTTGAGATGGGATAAAGCATATTGAAGCCAGCCAATTGTTTGTGTCTGGCCAGTCTATAGTGTTAACAAGGTCAAGGTTACCATTGGTAACCTTACGATTCAGGTAAGGTAACTTCCCAAATGAGTGAGTGCAATTTGGCATTCCCCCCACCCCCGGCCGTACCTCTAGCTGGTAGGTGCTTTGGTCACAAGGGGAGGAAGCACAAGAATGCAGCGGATTCAGCACAACCCCATAACACCGCTAGAAAAAAAATGTATTTCCTACTTATTATACAAAGGATCTGATTTTTTACTTATCTATTTAAACTTTGCCACTGCAACCCCAAGCATTCACAAAGGGCTCTTTTCAAGCAGAACTTGCTTAGTTATAAATCAGGTTCAGTTCATCAACAAGCTTTTATGAAGTTCCTACTATGTGTTAAGAACCATGCTAGGGATGCAGAGAGCAAAGTGGAAACCCTTCCTGTCCTCAAGGAGCTTTCATTCTATAAGGGGAAACATTTTAGGAGATACAGAATATATGCCAAGTAAATAATACAAGGACATTTTTTTTCCATGCTGGTGGGAAAAAAAGCCCTAGCAGTTGGTGGAGGTGGGAGGAATCAGGAAAGGCCTCCTATAGAATGTGGGACTTGAGCTGAGCTTTAAAGGAAGCTAGAAATGTTCAGGGTCAAAAGGGAGGAGGACATATATCCCACGCATGAGAACTAGCTAATGCAGAGGTATGGAGAGAGGTATGGAGGAAACAGAATGTCACAAGTGGGGCCAGAAAGCCAATTTGGCTAGACTGTAAGAGTGCGCGCAAAGGGGAGTAATGTGCCCAGCCTGGAAAAAACCTGGAAAGCACAAAGATACTAAGAGTATCCCTGCTGTCATTAGGGGCGGGTATTCCTTTCACCAACCCAGACTGCAAGCCCTCTTGCCCTTTGATACACGGTCTTTCTGGATCATGGGAGCCCCGCAAATTTATTTCTCAGTGTCCATCCTTCTGGTGATGAGGGAGCCTCTGTGTACTTAGCTAGGCCAGTTGTAGGACAACAGGCATATAGTTTATTACCAGAACTGTCCCAGAAGCCTCTCTGGCTTGGTAAGACCAGCAAGAATTTAGACTTCCCTGCTGTAGCCTTCAGGAACTTAGGTCATCCCAGCTTGGCAAGGGGACTCCAGAGGAGGATGTTGCCAGAAACTACCCCAGCTCTTCCCCACCCAAGACATTGACTCTTCTCTACTGTCACTTTGGCAGACAACTTATTGTTGCCTCCATCTGAGCCCTACTCAAGAGAGGACCTGTCAAATGAAGCTCGGTAAAAGGAAGGGCAGTTGAGTCAGCCCCACCCTTTGTTTTAATTTCTCTGTGGGACCTTTCATTATATGCTGTGACTCTCTCAGTTCCTGCTTCCTTTTGCAGATGCCTCTTAGAGAGGGTGATCCACAGAAACCTTCTTTGGATGGAAGCAGTTTCAGGTGTCCTTGTGGAGGAGGCCTACTGTGTCCTTCTGTGATTCAACTGAAATACATAAAATACATTGAAATGCAGTTATCAAAAGAAATTCAAGTTCACCCTAGACTTTAGGTTACAAGGCCTGGGCTGGTTCAATGCCCTCATTTTACAGAAGAGAAAACTGAGGCCCAGGGAGGTAAACAGATGTGCCAAAGGTCACACACAGTGGCAGAGCCAAAGTTCTAGGCCAAGTCCTCTTACTTCCAAGTCTAGCTTCCTTCCCACTGTACTAGTATGCTCTCTTCCTCCTGTGTCTTTATTTACTTCAGTAGAGCAAGGAGTGTTCTCCCCGACCAAAACAGAGAGATCCTCACTCCTCTTTAAACTAGTAGCCAGTCTTCACAAGTTTTTGTGCTGACACATTAATCATCCTCATCCCATAACCAAATTCTCCAAAACTCAGCTCAGCTTGAAAAGCTGCCTAAGCGCAAGAGGTGCCCCAAAGTAGAGGCTGCTGCATCCAGGGCGACTGGGTTCTCACTTACTGCTGGTCTTCAGGCACAGGATGAATGGAATGTTGCAGTGGAGATTCCTGCTTAACTATAGGTTGGAATAAATAACTTCTGAGGTCTCTCCCAGCTCTGAGGTTCTTTGTGAATACAGGATTCTGTGAGGATGGGTTGGGAGTGTCCTCTTTATAACAGAAGGACTAGGTCCTCCCCCCTCCCTCCAAGGGTGTGACTTGCCTACCTCCATCTCATATCACTGTAAGCCACCAAGTTCAAATTAGGCCTCAGTACTCTTCTTCAGATGAGGACAGCGTGAGGAAGCAGAAAATTGCTGGCTTGCCCAAGATAGCCCTTGGGCTCTGTTTTGCATTGTGTGGAGTTGCGTGAGGTGGTCATTGCCGAACCCAATCCAAAGAGCATTTATTCAGTGCCTACTCCTTGCAAGGCACTGCCAAGGAGTTTAGCTACTAGCCTCCCCTACTGCAGGCCCCTGAGGCTCTTCCCTTATTCATCTCCCTAATAAATGCTTGTCAACTGACTGACTTATTCCCTCATTTTCACTCCATTACCACCTCTGTACTGAGAATATTATCCTTCTAGTCAAGAAGTACCAAGAAAGATTCCTGTCGCGGCATGTCAACACCTCCTGTTAACTGGCCAGACTTCTGTATTATGCCGTTTCACTATGTAACTTCTGAGGCTTCAGTACTTGGTCATGGCAACTTCTCCAGAGGGAGAAAAGGGGCAGGGGGAGAGGAGGAGACAGAGAGAGACAGAGAGGGAGGGGGAGAGAGAAGGAGAAAAAGAGACACAGGGAGAGGCTAGCTCCAGCAAGAGAGTATTGGAAGCAAATTGGGAGAAGCTGGTTAAGATAAGGGTAACTGAGGCATGATTATAGATGTTGCACATTTCTCTTTCCCAGTCAGATAAATCCCAGTGTTTCATTGATTTACAAGCCCAAACTTACATAACGGGTCGTACACACTAAAGGACCATCCTTCTTAGGCGATTACAACTCCTTGAGCTCCCTGTGAATGGCAGGTGCTGTTGAAAGGCCCAACATTTGTCTAAAATCTGTACCATCATTTCTAAGAGCAGATTCTGAATGGAAAATAGAAAGCAAATCCCTGGGAAGGAACAGTTAGACATAAATGAAAATTCCAGCTGGGTACAGTAGTCCATCTTTCTCTATAGAATGAGGACATCGGGTCTTAGGGGAATTTCACTTTCTCATCAGGTGACTGATTTAAATGAAGTCACTCAAAAAAGAAATCAAAGCCATTTTCACCTATGCTTAAGGCAGAAAGAAAAATAGGGGCTCTGCGAGGAGTTGTCAGAAACTGTCCTTGCGAAACCCACCCTCTGCCCCCTGAGTGTTGAAGGCATATATTCATTTTTTAAAATCAAAGTTAAGTATAATTCAATTTGTTTTGAGACTTTTCTGACAGCCCTTTCTCCACCACCTCAGCCCCCTAGAAGACTGGAGACACCCCAGGGTGTTGCAAAAGCAGGATTAAGAAACACCACCTTGGATTTTACACATGGTAACCAGTGATTAAGAGTTACAGTTGCTCAAAGACAAAAACACAGAGGCCCAAAAGGAAATGAACGCTATCCTAAAGAATGTTGGGGGGGGGAGGTTATGTGTTTGTGTGTGTGTGTGTGTGTGTGTTTATATGTGTATACATGCCTACATGCATAAAAATGTGCATTTAGGTTTCTTGTGGAATACCTTCATTCTTTTCTTCTCCAGGGTGAGAGAGAGGTGAGGCTTTGTTGGAAAGAAGAAATATGGGTAGTAACCAATTGGAAAAAGAACCCCAAAGTATGAATTCTGACCTTTGAAGGACAAAAGGAGAGCAGGGGTAGGAGTCTAGCTGCTATGTAATATACCCAAAGATGGAGCATTTTGCTGTTTAACTGGTATGAAGAATAGGAGAGGTTGAAACAAACCCCCATTCAATAGTGGTACAACTTTATATCTTCCGTCACTAATTAATCACATCCCTTTCAATGAGTCAGTCACTCAAACCCTCTGTTGACCAGACAATTGGTAGATCTAAAGAACCTCTAGTCTCCACCTACCCCCAAACACTTTCTTTCTTATGGAGGGAAGACTGGCAGCCACACCTAGAAGCACAGACTGTATTGTGGGATATCATAAGGGGTCTTAGTGTTAACATCACCTTCAGGAATGTACATTCTGAAGGAGGATGTCAAAGGGGGATTATGGCTAATGATGATTTACCTGTACGCTGTATTTTTTATTTGAGAGGAAGGAGGGAAGGCCAAGCAATAATTTAAAACCTGGAACTCTTTTTTGGATTCCCTAAGCATTGGAAATAGTCTGGCGGGCTACAGTAAAAAATTCCTCCGGGCCACCTGTTATTTCAAAGCTTCCAGTAAACACCATTCTCCTGGCTGGGTGCACCCCTGCTGACACCTAACACGATTGGCAGTGCTCATGGTCAGGAAAAATAAGCAGAGGAAGGGCAGATCCTGTCCCCAGCTGCTCACTCATACCCCTCACTGCTCCTTTCAACTGAAAAGGAAGTTGGGCACAAGCAGTCACAAATTTGGCCCAGCTGCTTTTGCTTCTGCACCCATGGTGGGATTTCTGAAGGGGGAGGAGGTGAAAGTTCAAGAGTAGGCCTCTGTTTCAAATGTGAAAGAAAATGAAGGCAGGCATCTTTTCAGCTGCCCGCTGTTTTCTTCGCCAAAATTACCTGGTGTCTATTTTTTTAAATATACCTGTGTATGCCCATGTTGTCTTCCTTGCCTAGACGGTAAGCTCCTCAAAGGCAGGAGGAGCTGCCCTTCTGTGCCAGAGAGTAAGTATTTGCTAAATGTCTGTTGATTAATTCAGCTATCTAATGATGGCTGAGGGTGAGGTTGCTAACAGGAAACAAGGAAAGAAAACCTTAGCAAAGTCATTTC